CAAAATATTCACCAACAAAACAAGGAGGTTAGTTGTTGTTGCCACCATATGCCAAAATTGGTTTTACAAAAGCTATATCTACCTGGATCAAGGAGCAAGTTACCTTAACATGCTTTGATACCAATTGTAACTAAAGAGTGCACCCTAAGACCGGGGGGAGGGATGCATTAGGTTTTATGATTTTTTTTCTCTCGTTATCTTGCAGTTGATCTTTCCTTTTTGTTTTTATGGAGATACGATGATGAACTTAGAACAAAATGTGTAGAAAAATAAATAGAAAAAAATTAAATGATACCGAGATATATTCTGGTTCTGCTTTCTAGACAAGGGTAGCCGTAGGAGTGTACATGGGTCAGTTTGGGTTGGGTTTGGCCAAATTCAATACCCAACCCATATAGGACACTTTGGTTTGGGCGAGGTAAAATAACCACCCGCAATATCAATAGATCAGTTTGGGTAAACCCACTAATTTTCGGGTTGGGTTGGGTTGGGATGTGGGTTGCCAAATAGTTTTTCTATTTTATTAATGTTAAATAACTAAATGATGAATCGTCATATTTTTTCATAAAAATTATTCAACATTTTTATCTTCTTAAACAAAATTAGATAACTTATTTTTAATCATTTTTAGCATCATAAAATAATAAATGACAACATCAACTAATAAAAATTATCATAAAATACTAGAAATAAATTAAAGTTGTATGATATAAAATTGTATTAGTATCAAAAATAACCAAAGAGTGAAATATTCAAAATTAATTAAAGTTATAATTCACTAAAATAGTAAATGTTCAAAACACAAAAATTGTAACAATTAAGTTAATATTTCTCAAAATTATTAAAATTGCAATAATAAATGTTTGATTAGTGGAAATTTTACTCCATACCCCTACAATTGTACTCATACCCCTATAATTTAAAAAAAATACTAATTTTATCCCTATATGTTTTTTATTATTTTATTTTTTTACTTTTTACTATCCTGTCAGATTTTCAGAGTTCCGAAAAATTCACCCATCAAGTCTTCCAGAACACTTTTAAAATGACTTTCCGTATGATGTTTTTTCCAAACTGGAAGACTTTGACAAATAGTTCCGGTTTATATAAAATAAATGCCGGAAGAGTTTATCAAAGACTCCCGGTTTGCGTTTTACGTAGAATTATTACCGGAACACTTGTCTTCAGAGTTCCGGTACTTGTAAAAAGTATACCGAAACACTTTTTACAAGTCTTCCAGTTTGAATAGTTTGGCTACCGGAACTCTTTTCCTGAGTCTTCCGGTTTGTTTTTGTAATTTTTTTTAATGCAGGTACATAAATTCCTTTACAAATCCGCGAGAAAGGATCCTACCTTCTCTGCCTCGTGTGCGCACCACTGTCAAAATAAATAAATAAAATTTTAAAAAATTAAAAAAATATATTAACCGAAAGATTTGCAAAACGACTTCCGGTGAACAAACGAAAAAACCATGTACCAGAAGACTAGCAAATAGACTTGCAAAAAGACTTTAAGTATGTCTTCCGGTAAACAAACGAAAAAATCAAAAAACCGGAAGACTTACTTTAAGAGTTCCGATATGTGTAGGTGAAACCTGGTAGTTCTGGAAGACTTTGGCTAATAGTTCCGGTTTGTATATGAAAAATGATAGTTCCGGAAGTGTTGAAGTGCAAATGAAATGGAAAAGTAAAATTTCTAAAATTATAACAATTTATACGAGGGTATTTTGGTCCAAAATTTTTTAGTGTAGAGGTATGAGTATAATTGTAGGGGTATGGGGTAAAATTTCCTTGATTAGTGGGTAAGTGAGTTTTGTGGGTTTGGGTCCGATTTTACCCGAAACCCAAATTTTTTAATGAACTTTTTAGTTTTTAAGCCCATATCCATCCAATTACCTTACCCAATCCACTTTTATGAATTTTTTTTGGATGGGTTTGACCGGATTTTATGGGTTAACCCAACCCATGTACACCCTTAGGTAACCGAGTCCCTTCACACCCCGTGAAGGATTTTCATTATGTTATATCTTTGTATAAGCATCACCCCAAGACCTATCTTATAATCTTCTAACATGAACACCTAACCGCAAATTTTGAATCTCCTCGAATCAAAGGATCTTTTTCCAAAATCATCAAACACTATGATGATTATCACATAAGCCATAAAGTACACTACTTTCTGTTTACAACACTTAGAAGACACATTACTTTCCATTACAAACATTTTTTAGAAAGCATGCCACATTCTATTACAAGTAATTATTTTTAAATAAATTTTGAGTATATGAAATGCTTTTAAATCAATTCTAATATAAAAAATTGATCTTCACTTTCAATGTACAATTCAAATGTATTAAGTGCTCAAAAAGTTTTAATGTAACTCTTTAAATGATATGAAAGTTATGCACAAAGTTTCATTGTTAATTTTGTATGAACACTTGATAAAAGATTTGAATTTGTATGAAATTATAAGTGAAAGAGATTATATAAAAATCTAATATATTTTTCTTTAAAATACATCACAAGATACCTCTTAGATTAGTAGTAGTGTTCAGAGAAAGTTTATGATGAATTGCAATGGTTTGGAATAACATTGGTTCATGAATTTTCAAAAAATCTCAGGGTGCAATCGATTGCGTGAATGATGTAACCGAATGTCACCTTTGCAACTTTCAAACTTTTATGGCAGAACCATCATGAAACCAATTGCACAAATGAAACAATCAATCGCCACTAAACTAAGATAGATGGTGAACATCTTTTTCAAACATACATTTTTACTTGTCTCGATTTTATATTTTTTTACACGACTACATTAAAGATATTATAGATGCAGAGCCTGATGAAAATTATGGTTTCCTTGCGATTACAGATTTACATAGACGGGTTGAAGAGTAATGGTCCTTGGTTAGGACGTTGTTAGATAGTGAAGTTTATCTAAACAATCTGATGTTGACACTATATCTGAAGTTAGGAATTCATTATGAGTATTTAACTTGTGCATTCAAGATCGTGATAAATGGATGACGGATCTTGATACGTGTTGACCTGTTTGTTCTAGATACAATTTGATATTGGTCTTGTTACCCAGTAATCTTAACATCATTTCTTCCAACTTGTGGTATCTCCATCTATGTCTGCGAGTAGACATAAGTTTATTGTATTTGGTTTCATTAACAATTGTCATTGGGTTTAGGTAATGTTAAAACCCGATTATCCATTGCTTTCTGTCACTAACTGCTGGAGACATAGCTGTAGTGAATGTGCAAGAGCATGAGAAACAACATACACATACATATAAGACATTGGTAAGAAGAAGTAAGGAAATCGACATAATTTGTTTTGTTTTAATATTGTCTAATCGTCGTGATTAAATGTATATATTTTGTCGAGTTTTGATTCTACCGACACTTTTGAATATTAATTCATGATATGATACTTGGATTCATGATAAATTAGGTCAAGATTCATGTTAATTCATGTTTACTATATTGGTGTTATGTTAATTATGTCAAAAACATATTTAAAAAATCTAAAAAATTAAAATCTTGACTGTCTATCGGATTTTTTGAAAATTTTGAAAATAAGAGACAAATAACAAAATTTTAATATATTTGATATATCGTGTAACTTGTTGAAATTTTAAATATCCGATTTTTAAACATTCAAATATTTCAAAATAATTGCCTAAAATCAAAATTTTCTAAGAAATTCGGTAAATTTCTCATGCATTTCTCAAAAATTCGAAAAAAAAATCATCCAAAACTATTGGGATATACCATATTTTTTTTGTAAAATTTCAATAAAATTTTACAATTTCCACAAGATCCCGATACTAATCACAAAAATTTGATAAAAAATCATTCATAAATCTAAATACCTAGTAAATCACTAAAAGGTCGACAAAAGTCCATAAACCTTATTTTAATTATATAGTGACAATTTGATAAATGTGTAGACATTGAGGGTGCCGGATATAAGAGAATTTCTTAAAGCACTCTAGACACTTTTTAAGACACCTCGTGAAATTCTAAAAATATCCTTAATTTATGAAAATATATATCTAGACGCACTTAATAAACACGTTTCATTCGTTTTTGAGTGACAACACAATTTTGTTAAAAAATTTATTCCGAAAATGCATCTTCGAAATTTTTTTCAAAAACGTATTTCCGAAATCTTCTGGAAAAAAAGAAGTCTGACATGGTACCTATAAATTTGTGTTGCGTGTTAACTGAGTTGATGTCATGTTGTTCTTATTTTTAACACTTTTCAGGATGCAACAATGTATTTTCTTTTAATCTCGTTCCATCTAATTTTAGTATTTGCATGTTCTCCATTAGTTTTTACCTATTTGCTTCCTTTTCCAGTTCAATACTTTTATCTGTTGAAGGGATGGATGAAATATTTGTCTTTCAAGTGATTGATTTTAAATTTTCTTTTATGCTATTTATTGTTGTTGTTTTCAATCAAGCGACTATATTCTCTCCATCTTTTCTTGTCATTCGTGGTTGCTCATATCAGACATATTTTCACTGTTATCATACACAAATTACGCATGGTTTTTTCTGCTTCATTTGATTCAACATGCTTCCTTATAACATTATATTTTTTTAAGAAAGTTCTAGAAATATTTTTTCGGAAATTTTCCGGAGATATATTTCGAAATACATTTATTTATAAAATTGTGGTGTAACTCAAAAACGAATGAAATGCGTATATTGGATACGTCTGACAATATATTTCTGAAAATTGAAGATATTTTAAGAATTTCGCGAGGTGTCTAAAAAACATCCAGGATATTTTAAAATATTCTCGGATATAATTGGGAGGGTGTTATCAGATTTAAATCTCAAAAAGTTCATATGTATAAGACAGAAGCCCAACACAGAAAATGGGCCAAGAAAAGCCCATCTAACATCACATGCATTGTTCGTCAGTGCTGCAGCCAAGGTGTGAATGTGATGGAGGGGTAGATTCCTCCTACACTCTGTCTGAAAAATGGATCGGAGCTCTTTCTCCCCGCGAACCAGGAACACCCGACCCAAGGCCGATATATACTCCACTTTCGTAGTTCACGACGAAGACGATGACGGCGAAACAAACCGGCGCCGGAAACTTGCCAACGCGGAAGTACAGGAAGATCCATACTCAACAATGGTGTTCAAAGACAACGGCCACAATGACGAAGACGACGAAGATTCCTTTCTCCCTCCGCTTCTCAAGCGTCTCCCCAAGGACTTCGGGGGCGGAGCGTCGATGGATTACGACGATGATGACGAATCTGGTGATTTCGGTACTGTGATCGTGAAGAGCGATCGTGGCCAGCAGCGAGATCGGTCATCTACCGGCGTGGGCTTGCCGGTGGGTCCGACCTGGAAGACTGGGAGTTCTTCTCAGGCGAATCCTTTGAACAGAAGGAACGAAGACGACGCTGAAGAAGATGACGGTGGCGGATTTTCAACTTTTGTCATGCGTTCGACGGTGAGGGCTGGCGAGACAGAGTCTGTTGGTGGAACAATGGTGCGACGGACAGGAAGCAACGAAGGTGGAGGTTCGACTATGGAGAGGGCAATTGCGAGTATGCAGGGTGTGGGAGAGTTTGGGAAGAGGAAAGGAAGCGGATCTTCACATAACGAAGAGGGAAAGCAACACTCCAATGCCACCAAGGTATCCACGAGTTCCATCCCTGATAGTGTAATCAGAGAGGACCCTACAACCAAATATGAGTTACTCAATGAACTTGGTAGGTGCTAAAAAAAAGTAATTCGATGTTGTTCATTATGTATATTAACTAATTCTTGTTTTGCTTTATATGAGTTTTGAATGGTTTCGTTTTCCGTTTGGATTTGTTGCAGGGAAGGGTTCCTATGGTGCTGTTTACAAAGCCAGGGATTATAGAACCTCTGAGATGGTTGCTATCAAAGTCATATCATTATCTGAAGGGGTGAGTTTTTGTTTCTCTTTTGTATTTAGAAATTTGCATTTCGGTCATCTGGTTTATTGGATTGTGTTTGAACAGTTTTGAATAAACTATTATTATTCTTGTGCTCATTAGGAGGAGGGATATGAGGAAATTCGTGGTGAAATTGAGATGTTACAACAGTGTAATCATCCTAATGTTGTCCGTTATCTCGGAAGCTATCAAGGAGAAGAGTATCTTTGGGTAAGAACTAAGATGGCTTTCCTGAACTGAACTCATTGTTTTTATGTCTGCTTTTCTGAAACACTCTAGATTTAATGGTTTTTTTTTTTGTTTTGTTTGTTTATTGATTTGTGAATAACCACGTGTTTGCTTTTATCTGGGTTTCTCTATGGTTATAGTGATTTGCTAATGATTTGTTTTGAGGGGTGTATTCTTGCTTAAATTTTGTTTCTCCTTATTATAAGAACATTCACAAAATTCACTTGAATTAAGAAAATGAGTTGTAGTAAGAATTTATGTTTTCCAATGGTAAATTAAGTAGGGGATTTTTTGCAAAGTAATCATTAGTGCATATGAAATTTTGAATAGAGTCTTATATTAAGGGGCAAAGAAAAAGTGTAAATGAGTCTTACAATTAGGGACATAGAGTATTTGTTGTTTCTTTTGCTAGGACCTATTTTCTTCATTCATTTTAACCAAGGCTTTCCACTTTGGCATAAATAAAAGTGTCGTGGTTGATTTTGTTAGTTAAAATATTGTTTCTGAATATCTGATTAAGATTTTGGCAGATAGTGATGGAATACTGTGGTGGTGGTAGTGTTGCTGATCTAATGAATGTGACTGATGAAGCACTGGATGAGAGTCAAATAGCATATATCTGCAGAGAAGCACTGAAGGTATGGTTTACTGAATGGATTAGCACCAGATGTTTTTACTTATGCTATCCTACTTATTGATTTATCTGTTAACCTCTACCAAGATTTCCAGTTGAATTGTTCTTCATTGCTTCAAATAAAATACTTTTAACAGAATTATTTGGACTAAGATTTCTGCTGCAAATAAAAAATAATATTTTTGTTTATTATTTTCTAATGTCTTCCTGGATTGTGCACAGGGACTTGACTATTTACACTCAATTTTTAAAGTCCATAGAGACATTAAAGGTGGGAATATCTTATTAACTGAACAAGGAGATGTCAAGCTAGGTAAGTATGGTAGTTGTATGTGTAACATTTGCTGAGTGTGCTTAGTAATTATACCTTTTTATCATTTTCATTATGTCCTTAAACTTGGAAATCATGATTAGTATCACATACATCAAACATGTTTGACTATTCTTTTTTTTCCTCATCTTAAATAAAAAGTTGAACTCACTATTTTGTGTTTAACTTTTTCTTGATTTTTTATTTAGCAAGTGGCTACATTATCTTAAGCTTATGATTGAGATGGGTCTTTAGAGCTCTACTCTTCATGTTAAAATGTTTATACCATTTAGAGGTCATTCTGCTAAGTAAGAGTGATTGCTTGTATATAATTTCCATTCTAAATTCTACATTATTACTACCCATTAAAATCGTAGTGAAGGATGAAGCTAATATTTCATCATATGGTTGCTTACTCTTCAATTCATCACGGTGTCTACAATTTGAATTGTCCTTATCTTTGAAGTCTACAGTTGTTATTGTGTCTTCTAATAGATGTATGACATGCACACATCCATATTATGGGATCAAAGTCCCTTGTAGAGCAATTTTTGATTCCCTCTGAATTGTGCGGGATTTGGAGTGGACAAATATTAAAATACAAATTATTATGTTGACAAGATTACCCTCAGTTTTTTTAAAAATTAAAATCCGAAATTGCATTGGCATTCATAATATCTATTGGATGCATTTTATTAAGTTGCCAGAAGCATTTTATGAGCTGGACTTCATCACGTAGATCAAGAAATCAAGGGTAAAATTGCCTGTGGCGTACTTAGAAAAAGTAGCAAAATATTGTAATAAAAATTTACATAAAAGGCACTAGTATTCTTGGACTTTTAACAACAGACTGATTTAGATTCCTGGTTGATATTGAGCAGGCGATTTTGGCGTCGCTGCACAGCTTACAAGGACCATGTCAAAGCGTAATACGGTAGTTGTTGTCTTTAATATCATTTTAATGTCATTGCATTACAGAATCTATCAAATGAGGAGTAGGACCATGATTTTAAAAATCTTAGATGACATAGATATGGTCTGATATAAGATTGACAATTTTATCTTAAATACTAAAGTCAGGAACAGCCTTTTCTTACTTACATCTTGGTATTCTAATTCTGAAACAAATACTAAATTGGAAATAAAGGAAAGAAGAGCCATTACGGTGGAGAGAGTATGAACATGCGGTAGCAATGACTTGCATTGTTGCCAAACACACTAAATTCCCCATCCTAGTTTCTGTGAGCAACTTATTGTGACTTAGCAGTTGTACTTATTCTCAGTCCCCATTATATTATTTCTTGAATGTTGCTCGCTGTTATGTTCGAAGTACTTTCTCTTAAAAAAGTCAAAGTATTTTCCCTTAATAATTTGACCTCTACTGAGTTATGAGATGTGTCAAACCTTGAACATGCCCCTAGGAGTTTACCTTTATCATCCATGAATGTGATATGAACTTGTTATATAAGTATAATATATTCAAAAACATTTGACTCGCATTGAGGTGTTTCTGCACATTTATGGACATGTTATTAATTATTTTTGTCATGGCAGGACTTTTGATGTTTCTGTTTAATATGCTTGTAGTTCATTGGAACCCCTCATTGGATGGCTCCGGAAGTCATTCAGGAAAGTCGCTATGATGGAAAGGTATTGCGCTTTCCAGAATCTATTAAACTTGTATTCTTAGCTGTGCTTGTGCACCTTCTTTTGTTGCCACTGTACTGCATCTTCTCCTTGCTTAATTTTCATTTGCCTTAGCTTTTTCTCATCTGTTAGTTGGTTCTTAGATTCGGACATAGGAGTAAAAGTTGTTGTACTATTTTGCCTAACAACTGTTGGTGGCATTTATACATGCCATATGTAGATTTATTTAAAAATTCAGAGGATTTTTAATTTCACACTTGTGAGTTTCTGATATAGCACCAGATATCTACTAAATAATAACAATATATTAAAGATCTTAGAAATCACACACAATGACACAATACAACAATACACTAGCCATCCCACTGTCCCAGAGACCTTGTCTCTTACAGAATAATATCTATCCAAAACAGAATAACAATCTAACAAAAAGGAAATACACGCCCTACAATCGCATATACTAGTAACTACTTGCCAGAAATTATTTTCTAATCATAATAGCCTAATAATTGCCTATAAACTGTTCTGCCACTAATTATTTCCTAATCATTAATTGCCACCAGGCAGTTACTCTTAATGTTTCCTATTAGTGTAGACCTTCCAAACGGGTGGCATTATGAACAGCTGACATTCCTTTCCATGGCACTAGAAACTGTTTGACTATTTCTCAGCTGCTTAGAGTTCCGTCTGGTTGCAACACATCATCCAGTTGAAGCTCCAAGGTTTCTGCTTCCTAGGATCCAATGGTCTTAAAAAAACACACATGAAAAATTGGATGAACCCTTGATGTAGGTGGAAGCATCCATTTCTTTGAAACTGGCCCTGTATTTTTTTAGAATTTCGAAAGGACCATACTAGCAGGGAGCCAATTTCTGGTTGATGCTCATAGCAACAGATTTTTGGTCTTGTGGTCTCAACTTTAGGAAAAACCAATCCCCTACAGCAAACTATTGATCACTTCTTTCCTTATTTGCATAATATGCTCCGTCTTCTTCTGTGCTATAATCATGTGATGTTCCATTTTTTTAAGAGATTCATATCTTTCATTATGTTTTGTACCACAGCTTCTGCATTAGTTTCTCCTTTTATAAACCAAGCAACTGTATGAAGCTTTTTTTCCCCCTAAACCACGTGAAAAGCAGCAGTACTATTAGAGACATGGAAAGTAATGTAAAGACCAGTTGTTTATGATGTTAGTTCTAAGCTGGGTCACTTGTATTTCATGAAACATGAAAGGAATAAATTGTTCTATAGCACTTATTGCAGTTAGATTATTGGCCATACCTGTATAAGATATAGTTTTATTTACTTAGCTATGATTTTCAGGTAGATGTCTGGGCTCTTGGCGTGTCTGCAATTGAAATGGCAGAGGTATATCCATTTATATTTCAAATTTATGACTTCCAAATGAACAGTTAGTTTATCCAATGGGGTATATACTACAGTCTTCCTTTTCTTCCCCCCATTTCTGTTCCCAACTTCAATAAGATATTTGCAATTAATTTATACTTTCTGTTCTGTTACCCTCCCCTTCTTTTTGTTCTTCTTCCACGAAGACACATTTATTGTAGTTTTATTTGTTTTGAGGAGAAACACACTATACATTCTATCTCTGTTGTTGGGTTGTCATCCATAAACTGTTACTTATTGCATCATGCCATTAAATGGAAATGTCTCGTTAGATATCGTTTTATATCCTGATGCTGCTCTTAAAAAAGTACTCATTCGGTTACCGTAATTTTCAGGGTGTTCCTCCAAGATCATCAGTGCACCCAATGAGGGTTAGTAACCTAGAACTTTGATTTTACTGGTGTTATTGATTAAGTGATTGCTCAAGCTCTTTTCCTCCCCCTTTTTCATACGTAATTTTTAACCGGTAATTTATATTGATGTTCATATAATGTTTAAAATTCAGATGGCTTACTATTTGCTTCCACTATTACATGTTAGTCACTTTGTTGGGATAAACTTTGATCTTAATATAGGTGAACTAGGATGGAGAAACAGAAGAGTAACTGAGAAATAGACATGACATTTGACATGCAAGGAGATGAATGGAATAGATATTTGATTTCCTGTGTTATTAGAGTGATAGAAACCTGGTACCTTGTTACAAAAAGTATGTAAAATTCATCAATTGTAAAACTCTGCTCCTTCCCTATGTTCAAAGGCCTTCATTCTCTTTTAAATGACTGGATTACCTGTCCCTTTCAACCCCTCTGCTTATTTGTTGACAACATGCCTTATTTCTCTAAGTATTCCCTATCCCTGACTACTAACTAATTAGCTTGAACTCCTTTATCTAACAAGCCTATCACAGGGTTTTTTGGTGGAGTGTAGTTAGTTATGATAGAAGATATATTTTTCTCTTTAATTAGCTTGAACTCCTTTTATCTAACAAACCTATCAGAGTTTTTTGGTGGAGTGTTAATTAGTTATGATAGAATATATAAATTGTAGCTATTTCAGAATTCATACTTATGGTATCTGCTATATATGTTAGTGATAGGTGTAAATTTTTTTTTATGTAAATTATGTTAAAGTGCTTGTTTTTTTGTGCCAATTTTCCTTGCCGTGAAAATATGATGTATAAAGAGTTTCTTCAGTAATAGACGAGTTTGTGAAAAGAAATTCAAAATATAGGTAGGTAGTTTCTTCTGTCAGCAGAAGCTACTTAGGGTCATGCATTCTTTGTAAAATTTGTATGTATTAGTGTTTTTTTTTTGACGAAAATATCAACTTCAGTGTGCTTCCCTATATTTCTATTATGATATATTGAATGAAATATTGATATTAGACTTGTCTAAAAGAAATGCAAAAATTATAGATGTTTACAGGCTCAACATCACTTGATATTTGATTGTTTTAAAAAAAATGACTAGAATAACATTTCTTTGAAGGGAAACAATGGGTTCTTAATTCTTTAACTTTTTAGTTTTCTATTTCAATATTTTTGGGATTGTCAAGGTCATGGTTTGTTTTCATTTTGAGGGAAGGGGAGTTATAAATTTGTGCTCTTCCTTTGTAGGTTTTATTCATGATATCCATCGAACCAGCTCCAATGCTCGAGGATAAAGAAAAATGGTTTGTTTCTATAGTCTGTACTCTGAGCTCTTTTTGCAGATAATCTGTGAATCAGCGAGCTTCAAACTGTTGGTTGATGAACCGTGATGCTAATTGGTTTACTAATTCAAGTGATATTTGCCATATAGAATAGCATTAGTAAGACATAAAATCTTAAATCACTTGAAATACTGTGTAAATTTAATTTCAGAAGCATAGCTCACATGTAAGATAACTAAAACCTTAAATCACACTTCAAATACTTATATAAATTTAAATTCATTCACAAGGATAGTTACAAATTATTCAATTCAACGATTAACAAAGGCGATTCCCTCCGATTCACCAAAATAGTGTTATGAGTGCAAATATAATCGCAAATTTGTGGGATTTTACAATTAAAATCGGAATTAACTACAAAAAGAATACGATTTTACTGCTTTCTTTGTCCAACAGAATCAGTGCATGAACCTGACCATTATTTGCTAGATAGTATTCATTACTCACTCTTAGTGTGCTTCTCTCATAATCTCATTTTCCTGGTGCAATATCTTAATTGTGCTTGAGAGTTGAGACATTGTGTCTCAATTTAGTGATCACCACTTTCTGTATGATAGTGTTTTAAATTTGATTTTTCTCTTAGGTCTTTATATTTCCATGATTTTGTTGCCAAGTGCCTGACCAAAGAACCACGTCTCCGCCCTGCTGCATCTGAGATGTTGAAGGTATGCTCAGTTTTATTGTTTCAGATAAATATCCAGTGACCCTGATGAGTCTTAAATTTCTTCAGAGCTGATTGTATATTAAATAATGTAGTAGTAGGAAAGGCAAAAAGTAAAGAAAAATTATTTCCACTAAAGATGCCAAATGACAAGATGGAAAATTGAGAGAGATTGGAGAAGCTTGTTATAACTAAGACTATATAATTTTCAAATGCATGCAGACTAACTTTTCAAGATAAAAAATAAGGGATCAGTTGAGAAGAAATATTTTGAATATTTAAACTAAGGAGATGAGAATGCTCGAGTTGTTACTTATTAGCACTCAGCCGATTAGATTTAGATCTATACACATGAATATATTGCATATGTTTTCAAGAAGAAATAAATATAAGGCAACTTCCTAAGTACATGTGCAACTCCTATGACTGAATTTAAACACTACACCTGAATCTGAAAGTGCTAGAACATCAGCATTAAATGCTACTGCAGTTCCTAACTATTTAATTCTATTTCCAACAGGCTCAAAGTTAACTCTTGGTACAAACTTAATAGTTATAGTAATAAAGTCTTCTATATACCCACTGCGTTCTTATGCTAATTATATATCTCCTAATATATATATCTTTGATTTCTCAAAATTAAGCATTTGAATTCTGAACTGATCTCTTGTATAGAGATCTCAGGTAACCCTTTTACATCTTTTCCAATTCAAAGAAAATCTTGTGCAGATGTTTTTGATTTCTTTGATATACCTCAATCTGTCTTTGTACTAAGTATCTAGCTTTCATAGCTGGTCTTCCCAGTATAAAACAAATTTACTTTTTGTTATGTGATTAAATAAAATTGTGAAAGTTGATTCTTGTTATGACTTAAAAATATGATAAATAAAACGTGAATGCTTATATATAGTGTTTTAATTTTTAAAATTTCCTGCAGCACATATTAGTAAGTTAAACAAAATAATGGATAAAAACACAGTAGCTATCTGAAGTTACCACAACAGTCCTATGAGTAATTGCTGATCATGCATGAACTTTTATTTTGGCCATTTGCCTGTATTCTCAAAATGAATGCCTTTGTTAATTTTTGGTTTATGCTTATTGAGTTAGCAATTGCATGTTTTCTTTAACTGTTGGGTATATCCATTGAGTCAAGTTCTTTTCTTGCTGCCTAGCACAAATTTTTTGAAAAATGGAAAATTGGATCTGCTGTAATGTATCCAAAACTAGAAAAGGCAAGGCAAGTCAGGGCTTCAATGGCTTTACAGGCGCAATCTCTTGCTTCTGCTGCAGCAGGAGAGCAGGTATGGTTAAAGCTTCCCCTTCCCATCCCTCTTCTGTCTTTCGGTTTTAAACACACACACATGCACAGCTACTCAGACCGTTCTTCTCATTTATCTATATTTGATAAGTTGAAAAAGCAGAAAATAATTCCATGTGTAATCATATTCTTAATCTGAAGGAGCCAATGATAGCTTCCATACTAAATGACGAATATGGAGATACTGTTCCATCTAGACCACAGAGCATGTGCATTGAGGAAGCAGCTTATATCCCATCACATGAAATCATGAGGAAGTTGCAAAAGGTGGATGAGGATGACAATACTGAAGGTTTGCTGTTATTGATCTTATCTGTAGTCTGACTTATGTTATTGTTAAAGGTTGATTAATTCACATTGTTACATAATGAATGTGTTCTACGTTCTATGATGGGAGAACATTGGCTTCGAAAATAAAGTGGGCATGAAGATTTCACTTCATATCGGGCTTACACAGGCTGTAGCCTTCAATCCAAGTTGAACAAAAAATTTTACAATCTTTGTTGGGTGTACTTGTGGGAACACAAACCTTGCTATTGTGGGACTGGTTTGGTGGTGATTACTAGCAGTTGTCAGATGCATGATTATCAAATTGAGATTCAAATTGTGAATTGGAAGACCTAATTTTTTAATCATCTATCAAATTTTATAATGAATTGTAAGATACATTACCAATACCAATACAAATATGACATTTTAAAGTAAAAAAAGCAACATAGAAAACTTTAAAGCTAATATATCATTTACTAATCTCAATAATTCATGATTCAAGTCAAAAACCAAATGACAAAAAAAGTGGCTGATCGTACAAAGTTGACAAAAATAAAAGGCTGGCTACACTATGTTTGGGTAGTGATCCATTAGATTGAACTAGGATTCATGATTCATCATAGTCAATTGAGATTCAAGATGGGATTCATGTCTAATATAGGTGCGTCTTTCTGCATCGAGAATGTCCTATATGGAAGAAAGTATTTGCATCCACACATACTTGTAGTTAGAGAATAGGGAATATAGTTTTTCGTGGATGTCATGCTTAACCATAATTTTTACTTGTTCAGTTTTTAATTAATAATGTGTTATGTTAATTGAGAACCTGTTGGCTATGTCACATGGGTTATCGGCCAGATGGTTTCATGAGTGTTTGCTGTACTTGGGTTTTACTAGGTTCAGTTCTGAACTTAATTTTCTTGATGCTTATTTCTTCCATTCTGCCTCATGTCGGGATTTGTACATATGTATTAAAGCAATTGGGTTATGCTGTCTTTGTAGTTATTGCCACTTAATGCTTTGTTTGGACTGGGAAGGTGATAGAAACTGGTACTTGTAGTGAGTGAATTAAAGAAAATAAAACAAAAGTGATAGAACAATTCTCTGCAGAATGTCTAAAAAGCAGTTTATATAATTAATATAGAGTTAACACACTAGTACATAAGAGGAAGTTTAGAGAGACCATGGTAGAATAAATATAAAGAAATTCCTATCCAAGAAATTCGAGAGCTTGGTATCTTCCTCCAAGAATTAGCGAGCTTGGTCTCTCCCTCCCAAAATCATTCAAAAACTATCCCATAATCAGTTTCTCATATCCTTTCCCTATTTATTCCTAAATTAAATAATATAACTGCCATAATAACTTCACATAACTGCCATTAGAAGAAGTTTAACAGAAGGGGAAAAGAGAGGAAAAACAATTTTATTTCTTTAAAACTCTTGATTGGTTGAAGAGAAAATGAATAGAGTAGATAAGGAAACAATTTTATTTGTTTAAACCTCTAATTAAATTTATTTTCTAATTTCCTAGAAAAACAAAAGTGATTCTTTTTGAAGTTTATTTTTGTGTGAAATGTAATTATTTGGAATATTGGCAGGTAACTTTGGAACTGTGATAGTCCATGGGAATGAATTATTTAAGACCAGACAGGATGCAGATTCTGCTAGTTATAAATCTGCTTTTGCCAGCAATACAGGAGGCACATTTTCTGACCTTCGGTACTTGCTTGTTTAACTATAACAATGATTTTCCTCTTGTTAGATATTTACATGTCAAAGTCATATGTCAATTTTGAATTTCCCTCGCCTCATAACCATTCACAAGTTATGATTGAGCCTTATCTATTTAATGACTATAAAAAGAGAGACGAGCACAATTTTAATATGACATTGTCACGCAGAAATGTAATATCCATTTACCTCTTCTGCCTATATTTTTCAAAACATTATTTCCGTCATTGGCTTACCCATAATTAAACCAGTCTTAGCTTTGCAAACTTGTAAAACATGCATCATTATATGCTTACTAGAACTCTCCGTCTTTTTTCCTTCTAATTTCTCCCGCGTCCTAATGCAGTTTCCTTTCTTTTGTGGATACACTTTAGGGTTGAGAGTCTAAAAGTTGGCGACATAAACACTGCCTCTTTTAGAGCATCTAGTCCTACTACAGATACCATACAATCGTCTTTACCATCTGTTAGTAATTTAAATGAGCAGAACCTCAAAACAAAAGGCACTCATCGAGCACAAGCTGGAATTGGTAGTGATATTAGGAATAATGCACTTCAGAATGAAACAGTCAGCCGCAAATTTGCTTTACAAGATAAGGTATTTATGTAATTTGATTTGTATATTTTCTGTCGAGCATAATATTCACGCATGTAATCACTCCATCTGAGCAAAGAATATGTTTTTTGGTTATTTAAGTTGGTTACTCCTTTGAGATTCTGTAGTATATAAGGATAAGGAAAGTTGTTTTCTTGAATGAATAACCTTGTCTATTGTGAGACTTTAGTTTAAGATTTATCATCTGTTTACGTTTTTCTTTATTCTTTCAGCTTTGGTCCATTTACGCCGCTGGTAATACAGTCCCCATACCGTTCTTAAGGGCGACAGATATATCACCTATTGCTCTCCTATCAGACAATGTGTTTGGCGGCATGCAACAGGATACAGGTGGAACTAAAACAGTAGAAGCATTGCAAGAACTTTTTAGTGGCGATGGACAGTCCAAAAAGGGTCGTAGAGGAATAAATGAGGTGACTGTGTCATTGCGCGCTCAATACCATACACCTTTGTCGTGCACTTATGATTACTTACATTGTTCTGCTAACTGACATGCAGCATATGCCACTTCCTCCAAGCATTTGCCAAAGGTTGACGTCAAGTTCTACTTTAATGAATCTGGCACAGGCTTTAGCTTATCATAAGATGTACGTCCCATCAGCTTTTGCAGCATTTTTTTGCTCCCAGTTCTATGAAAATCTAGTAGGTTAATTTGTGCAAATGCTTGTAGTGGACAACTCTAGGTTTTTCACCTCCCTACCCGTGTCAAAAAAAGCACATGGTTATTATTCACATATTTGATTTACTTGGTATTAGGTGTTACGAAGATATGCCACTACAGGAATTGCAAGCAACGCAGGAGCAGCAGACTATTCAAAATCTCTCTGACACACTTAGAACCATTCTTCGGTTATAGAATATGTATTCACAATTCTTAGTGCCTTTATAATATGATGAGTGAAGAAATAGTTGTTTCTGTTTCATAGGTGGTTGATTGTGACTAGTAGTTAGTTTTGCACTTTTGCTGATTTTATTACTCTGTTCTGGTCTATACGTCATGTAATATACAGGTTTAGTCAGGAGTCACATTTATATGTAAATATTAGTATGTATCTAGTCTTTTTATCAAATGTAGTTTGTAGTGGATTGTTTGGGATTAATGCTAGAAATTTGTCTACCAATGTTGCTAGTCTCATTTGATTGTAATGTAAAGTTCATGAAGTTCATATTTCAATTTTAAAAAAAGAGAACATGTGTGAAGAAAAGTGCATTATTAGAAAATAAAGAAATAAATGTAAGCAAATTGGAAGAGTTGACATGAAAATATAAAGCATTCATCGTATGAGTGTAAGATTGTTTAATTTTGTATAGCGTAAATTTTATTATAAATAAGGATATGTTTAAGGAAAAAACTAAAGTTTTTTAACAATCTCTCTATAATAGTTTGTAGGAATTGATAATTCAGAATTCTGCAATTATATAAGTTAATAGATGTTTACTTTTACGTTTAGTGAAACACCATTTTAGGTAGATATTTGCTGTTCTCCATTTTCCATAGATATTTACTGTTCTCCATTTTCTCTTCTATTTCAACCATTGCGCTCTGTTTCATCAATCATTACTATTTCGACAAGCAATGTCTGCAGTCAAATTTGTTCTCGTTTTCAGGTTTCTTCATTTCTCTTTAATTGGTTTCTTCTTGCTATAAATCAATAAGTTATTATCCGTAGGATTTGAGGGGTTTCATCAATCAATTGATTTTTTTTCTTCTCTTCAACCGTTTTTATGTTATTTTACATTTATCAGTTAGTTGAAGTGTTAATTTTATCAAATACTTTAATTAATTTATTTGCTATCTGTCATCAACCATAAATTATAAACTATCAGATATTTATTAATTGAGTGTTCAGCCTAAGTGTTTGTTAAATTAAGGGTTTTAGTAGCTGATATATGAAAAATGTCATTAAAGAACATTCTTTAATCAATAATTGTGTAGTTATACTTTTATATATTATTATTATTATTATTATTATTATTATTATTATTATTATTATTATTTAATTTTAATCTTAACTTAATAAAATTAAACGTAATAATAAAAACATGTGTGATACAAATTCAAAATGTAATATATATATATATATATATATATATATATATATATATATATATATATATATATATATATATATATATATATATATATATATATATATATATATATATATATATATATATATATATATATATATATATATATATATATATATATATATATATATATATATATATATATATAACGATTACGGATGATAGAGTACAAGTGAACACCTATAAAAATCAAGATTGAATTTACAGAAAAAGAGAATCGAAGATGGTGTAGTGAAAACAAAGGAAAAAAGAATGGAGAAATACAGGAGTGTAAATCAGGGGATACTCTAATTACTAATGTGACAACAATGTTCCATATTACTTTGTTTTAATGACGTCAAAACTAGGAAAATTTCGTACTTGTGTGCTTTGGACGATATCACCTTGTCTTAGCTTGCATTCATCCTTTTTAATATGCGCATAATGATCCACATACATGAATCTAGACATATAGGATCACCCTTACGTGTAAAATGTGTTTTACATCATTCATGATGCATTAGGTCGGCCCATTCAGGGCTTAGATCGACTCAAAAATTGATAAAAATGTGTTTGTGACATTCTAGCACCCTTGGTTCGACTCACATGTATTGTGGAAGTCGACGCATACTGAATGATACAATCTTGGAGCTCTCGGGTGCTCATGCGTCGACGCATGGACAAAGTTCAGGCCAATGCACAGTTTTATTTTTTGTGCAGTTTTGCTTTCTGGTATGTTCAGGTCGACTCATAGGATTGTGAAGGTCGACCTCTCGCATATTTAAGCCTATTTTTATGCATCTTTGTGATTCAAAAGGCTGTTATTTTCTGTTATATTTTCATATATATATATATATATATATATATATATATATATATATATATATATATATATATATATATATATATATATATATATATATATATATATATATATATATATATTCATATGCATCATTTTTTGTATTATAACCAACAAGAAAAGTGAAAATATACATTAAATTGCTCTTCATCTTCATTCTCACATTTGCATTCTTCAACAATAACACATAACCATCTTTGTTGATCTTTGCTTTGTCGAGGTGATAACGTTCAAACTTAGGAATTGTATTTCTAGTTTGGGTTGAGAATTCGGTGGATTTTCTTGAATAAAACCTTTGGGGTTTTGTCCTTCAAGATTTTGAGGATTTGGGGAGTTTTTGCATAAATCTTTGCTTCGCAGATTCAGTCGAGTGAAAGGCTTGAGGAACGGTGCGTTCGGTCAAGCAAGTAACAGTAACTGGAGGATTGTGTTGAAATATTTAGGGTCGAATGTCTTGCGATCAGAATCAGTCGAGTGAAAGACTTGAAGAATCAAGTGAGTAGCAGTAACCGGAGGTTTGATCAAAGAGTTTGATGTTTTTGATTCGGCTGAAATCAAGGGAAGAAAAGTGGATATAATCAACATCAACAATTAGGTTTGAGTGTGTGGTAGCTATAACTTCTCTTGTACAAAAATTTGCAACTAGATATTATACATATCTCAATTCTAGTTTTAGAATTGGGGGTAGACGTACCCAAAGCAAGGACGAAAGGGGAACTTCCTAAACAAATCGGGTGTCGTTCTCTCTCTCTCTCTCTCTCTCTCTCTCTCTCTCTCTCTCTATCTATCTCTCTCTCTCTCTCTCTCTCTCTCTCTCTCTCTCTCTCTCTCTCTCTCTCTCTCTCTATCTATCTATCTATCTATCTATCTATCTATCTATCTCTTTACTTTGCGTTGTTAACGTTTGTGTGAAATTAACTGCTCAATATATTTCTATTGATTTGTAGTGCTGAAAAATTATTTTGGAAATACATTGCAATCATTTTTATTGTGATTGTGAAAAATTCTGCACTAGCATTTCAAAGAAAATTGAACTTGGGTGTTTTTCACACCAAGTGTTTGACATATTGATCGCACACAAACTGTTCGTAAAATTGTCAATTTAATTTTACCATTTATAATTCATTGGAAACTGGTTAATTCAAAGTGGTCTTCATTTAAATAATTGATTGTGAAAATTATTGATTCATTTATCTCATTAATTTCATTCCATTTGGCTACGCACATTCGATCTTACCTATAACGGTTCATTAAGACGATTTTAAATCCAAGGACGCTTCTGCATATTTTAAAACATTTTTTAAGCGCCGATTTTACTAAAAATTAGTGATCTATTCAACCCTCTTCTAGATCATTGCCATCGTCTAACAAGTGGTATCACGAGCACTGATTCATCTAGTGCTTCACGTATAACTTATTAGAAAATGGATAACAAACCTAAAGAGGCATACAATAGAGGGCTGATTTTTACTGGTGAAAACTACAATTATTGGAAAGATTGTATGCGAGGGCATGTCAATTCTATTGATAGAAAGGTATGGAACGTTATTCAAAATGGTCCTATTGAAATAACTATGACCAATGCAGATAATGTTGTTGTACCTAAGCTGGAAGCACAACAGAATGATGAGGATGAGAAAAAGTATAATTACAATTGGAAATTTAGAAATTCATATCCTCTTTGGGAGTTGATGAATATTATAGAGTTTCCCATTGTACTACTGCTAAGGCTATGTGAGACGCAATACAAGTTGCCTATGAGGGAAATAATGATGTCAAACTAGCTCGAATCAATAATTTGACACAAGAGTTTGATCTCTTTCACATGAAGCAAGGTCAACCCATTGCTGAAATGCAAAAGAGATTTTCTCATCTAATCAATCATTTAAATGCACTTGGTAGACCCGTTTCCATTGATGTTGCTACTAACAAAATTTTGAGATGTCTTAATAGGGAATGATAACCTAAGGTCACGACGATTAAGGAAGCTAATAATCTCATGACACTGGACATCACAACATTATTTGGTAATCTTGATGAACATGAGCAAGTGCTCATGAGTCTTGACCAACATGAGAAGAGAGAAAAGAAAGAGAAATCAAAAGACACGAACAAGAAGTCTATTGCTCTTAAGGCTTCTAGCTCAAAGTCCTCAATCAAAGAGCCTACTGAAAGTGAGTCTAGTGATGATGATGAAGATTCAAATGAAGATATGGGGCTATTTGTGAGAAGATATAATAGGTATATCCGGAAAAATGGAATTCAACATTCGAACAAGAATCTCATCAACTTTCGACGACAATAAAAGTCCTATAAGCATGAAGGAAATAATAGTTCAAAATAAAAGGGTTCATGCTACAATTGCGGAAATGTCGGTCACTACGAGTCGGATTATCCATTGACGAAGATAGACAAAGGAAAAGAGAAGAATCGTCAACAAAAGAGATCGAGAAAACCTAGAAGGGCATATATTGCTTGGAAAAGTGATAGTGAGTCCTCTAGTAAAGATAGCTCAAGTGATGAAGACGAATTCGTCAATCTTTGTCTCATGGCTCGTCAAAAGAAGAAAAAGGAGGTAAGACATTTTAAGTATGAACATTCTAATAAAATATCTCATTCCGAATTGAAAAATGCTTTTATTACTTTACATCATGAGGCTAAAGAAGCTTTTAAACGCTTAGATTCAAATAAACAAATTTTTTCACATTTAGAGAAAAAGATTTCCAATTCCGAAAAGGAATTAGAAGCTCCTTAGAACTCAATGGTGGAAGAAACAAAAGCTAAAATTGAGGATGACAAGTGTACTTGATTAAATTGGACAGGTTATGAAACTTGTCACATTTGGAAAAAGGAGGTGAGAACTCTTAAAGCCAAACTAGACAAGGCTTTAGAACCTAAAGTCACACTTTCTATTAGTCGGTCAC